TATTATATTATATTATATTATATTATATTATATTATATTATATTATATTATATTATATTATATTATATTATATTATATTATATTATATTATATTATATTATATTATATTATATTATTATAATATAATAATAATTTTATATTATTAACATTATTATTATATTATTATTAATAATATTATTATATTAATATATTAATATTATTAACAATAACTATAATATAATAATCATAATTAATATAATAATAAAAGTGATAAATCATGTTTGAATTTTTTGATCTGATCTGATCTGATCTGAATGTTTCTGATCTGATCTGATCTGAATGTTTCTGATCTGATCTGAATGTTTCTGATCTGGTCTGATCTGGTCTGAATCTTTCTGATCTGATCTGAATGTTGCTGATCTGATCTGAATCTTTCTGATCTGATCTGAATGTTTCTGATCTGATCTGATCTGATCTGAATCTTTCTGATCTGATCTGATCTGAATCTTTCTGATCTGATCTGATCTGATCTGAATAAAATAAGATTAAGGAATAAGTAATAAGATTAAGACGAACGGAACAGCTTCTAAGTCTTATTTTACCCAAGCATTAAAAGTATCACAAAAGATGTTAATGTAAAATGTAATACTCCCTCTGTCCCGGAATTATCTTCATACCTTCCTTTTTCGTCCGTCCCAAATTTATCTCCTCTTTCCCTTTTTGGCAAAGGATTTGTGGTTCACAACCATTCTTACACATTTCTCTCTACTCTGCACAACTCTCCACCACACATTTCTCACTTTCTTAATCCCCGTGCCCAGTCAAAACCGAAGTTAATTCTGGGACGGAGGGAGTACTACAGATAAATGTATTATATACTTCCAGTATTTTCAGAAGCTGATTAAAGCATATAAAAAGGAAACAACAATATATACAGCTGAAACAGTCAAAATTGGCACAGAAAATAGAACAAAATAAAAATAAAAGAAAAGCCATCAGTTCTATTTGATATAAAGTAGAGGGTGGTGTATAGAAGATATGTAGAATAGTATTTCAGATTTGTATTTTCAAACATGCATCGAAAACTTCAGCATTTATTAAATAAAAAAACTAACCTTTGTAATATAAGAATGTTTAATAAGGTTGGAAGGTTGAAGCAGCAAAGATTAAAGAGAGTGATCAGGATACTATTCATACTTCTCATGTAGCCAAAGAAATATATTTGAACAAAAAAGTCTTGAACTTATAGAGATCATATGAGTTCAGAAGTTTATAAAAGTACCAATATCTCTATATAAAATGGTTTCTTTGGCATATAATCAACTGTATTTGAAAAACTCACACCAAAACGGAATTGGTGTTGCGTGTTGTCTAAGGTGTGGTTTGTCTGCTTAATTGATCACTCATTGTCTTTGCTAAACCTATTTGCTTATATGTTTCATTGTTCCTATCTTACATTTTTGGGTGATTCATTTTTTGGGTTGGCTGATGAGTGTTTTCAAATATTACACAATAATATATCAATATTGTCTTCAAGATTCTCAAATCAAACATGATAGCCACTTATTAATCCAACCTTTTTTAGGTGAAGTAGTGTTTGCAGACTTGTAATCAGAACGTAGACTCGGTACTTTCATTGTATGAAGATATCACTTCCTTGATAACTTTCTTTAATTTACATCTCAATAAATATATACTAAGTTTTGTTTTTTGAAAGAAATATACTCCGTACACTAAGTTATTACTTCATAAACTATAAGAAATAAGAATGACTTGATAAGCCAAAATTAAACAAATGCTTCATGAAACAGTCATAATTCAGTTTGGGAAATTCAATAATAAGCTCATAATGAGAGAAACCAAAATTTAAGATATGGAAAAGAAACCAATCCTATTACCTTGATGAGAATACGGGGATAAAAGGATATGGGCAAAATTTTTGTAGCCCTGGTGTCTGAGCTTTTGTTAAATTGACTGGTTTGGAGAACATGAAAGTTCACAGAATAGATTTAAAAAATTCTCAAGAATGATGGACAACCTACAAGAAACGTGATTGACTGCACATGCTTGTAAAAGCGAATAGAAATACTGAGTGGATCAAATATAATGTAAAGAATCAAACGGAGATATATTGAACTGAGTATGTGTTTAGATCGTAATCGAATTGATTTACATTGACCGTAGCTATGCTATTTAAATACAAATATCTCAACTGCCCATACTAATCTACTGATACTTTTACATAAGAATGGGATGAGATAATCATGAACCAATAAATTAATGTTACATACAAATATACAACAAGGAGAGGTCCTCATGCAGTAAACGTCATGTACACGTGAGTCTTCATGCGGCAATGCTTTTGCACACGTGAGTAGTAACCAATACCCCCTCAAGATGGAGCATGGGGATCTAAAATGCCCATCTTGCCAAGTAAATAAGAAAATTGATGGGAACCCAGAGCTTTGGTGAAGAGGTCCGCTAGCTGTTCCGTAGTAGATTTATGAACAGGAACAATAGTACCTGCTTGTACATGATCACGAATAAAATGACAATCCAACTCTATATGCTTAGTTCGCTCATGAAAGACTGGATTAGAGGCGATATGGATGGCGGCGTTGTTGTCACAGAAAATGGGAATAGGAGAATTAAACCGCACAGCGACGATCCCAATAACTGTTTTAGCCAGATTAATTCACACGTGAGAGTGGCCATAGACCGGTATTCCGCCTCAGCCGAGGACCGGGATACCGTAACCTGCTTCTTCGTGCGCCAAGATATAGGAGACCCACCAAGCTGGACAAAATAACCTGTGACAGATCTTCGTGTAACAGGACAACTGGCCCAATCAGAATCACAAAACCCAGCCAAGGTGAGAGAGGAATCGGACCGAAGCAGAATGCCTTGTCCCGGATGTCCCTTGAGATAACGCAATACCCGCACAACTGCCTCCCAGTGTGCTTGTCTCGATTGTTGCATAAATTGAGATAATATGTGAACAGAGTAACTGATATCCGGTCGAGTAAGGGTAAGATAAATAAGTTTACCAACTAATCGACGATATCGGTCTGGATCAGTAAATAGAGGTCCTTGATCCGATTGAAGGCCATGATTTTGAATCATGGGAAATGACATAGGCTTGGATCCAAGGAGCCCTGTTTCAGTGAGAATGTCCAGCACATACTTTCGTTGAGAGAGGAAAATACCAGAAGAATTTCGAGCCACCTCGATTCCTAAAAAATATTTCATTCGTCCCAAATCTTTAACGGGAAAGGAGTGGCCCAAAAATTTTTTAAATTCAACAATCATGGCATGATTATTTCCGGTGATAAGAAGATCATCAACATAAATTAACACACAAACAATATGAGAATCACGCTGTAAAGTGAATAAGAAATAATCCGCATGGGACTGAACAAACCCACAGTTACGCAGAATCCCAGTGAGCTTCGAGAACCAGCATCTCGGTGCCTGGCGAAGGCCATATAAGGATTTCAATAAACGGCATACCTTTCCAGACCCCGAGGCGGTATATCCAGGAGGTAAATGCATATACACCTCCTCACGTAAATCGCCATGCAAAAAGGCATTGTCAACGTCCATCTGATGAATCTCCCAATGTCGAACAGAAGCAACTGCCATTATGGTACGGACAATTACCATTTTTGCTACGGGAGCAAAAGTCTCCGAATAATCAATGCCATGTACCTGTCTATTACCACAAACAACCAACCGAGCCTTGTACCGTGCTATGCTACCGTCAGTGTTATATTTTATTTTGAACACCCACTTGCAAAAAATGGCTTTCTTACCAGCCGGTAAGGACTGAACTTCCCATGTGCCAGTGCGTTCAAGAGCTTGAATCTCACGTTGCATGGCCTCACGCCAATGCGGTTCACGAACAGCCTCTTGATAAGAAGTGGGTTCCTTGTGAGCTGAAAGAGCTGCAAGAAAAGCACGATGCTGGACCGAAAAGTGAGTATACTTTACATAATGAGATAGTGAATAAGGGTTACCTGAATCGGCCTTTGGAGCAGCGCAAACGTGGGGAGGAGAATTTATTTTCACTGTGTTGAGTCGGACATCATAATCATTATGCCAAAGAGGGGGCTTCCTTGTTCGTTTGGGCTGAATGCCAGACGTGGTCGCTGTAGTGTCTGCGTGGTGCATGGAATTGGAAGTATTATTTGTTGATATTCCTATCGTATTGTCGGTCGTATGCAATTCTTCATTGGAGTGTTCCATATTACCACGTGCCTCCTCATTAGTACTGCTCGTTCCAGCACCATCAGAATCCGGCAAGTTGGTCAAACGCAGCCATGCAGCTGCCTCGTCATCATGCTGATGTACGTCATCTGGGATGCCACTTTGATATGGAAAGTTGCTCTCAACAAAACGTACATCACGTGAGACAAAATGCCTTTGTTTTTCCAAATCATAGACTTTCCATCCCTTTTGATTATAAGCATATCCCAAGAAAACACATCTAATTCCACTTGGAGCAAATTTGTCACCAGAACGATCTTTGTTATGTGCATAGCACAAGCATCCAAAGACACGTAATCGGTCATAATCTGGCGGTTTATTATACAGCATTTCATACGGACTCTTGTTATCCAAGATTGGCGAGGGTAATCTATTAATGAGATAACTAACAGTTAGAACACATTCCCCCCAAAAGGCTATTGGCAAGTGTGCATGAAAACGCAGTGTACGTGCCATATCAAGAATGTGCCTATGTTTTCTTTCTACCCTGCCATTTTGTTGTGGGGTATAGACACAAGAGGTTTGAAATATTATTCCTTGCTCCAAAAAATATCCTTCCAAACTTGTGAACTCTTTGCCATTGTCACTTCTAACAATTTTCACCTGTTTATTAAATTGCTTGCGTGTCATAGCAAGAAAATATTGCAATACATGTCGTACCTCCCCCTTATCACAAATCAAATGTACCCACACTGCCCGCGAATAATCATCCACTATTGTTAAAAAATAACGTGCACCACACGTGGCAGGTGTTCTATACGGGCCCCAGATATCACAATGAATCAACTCAAATGGTTCAACAGCTTTAGCTAAATTATAATTGAAAGAATCACGAGTTTGTTTGCCACGTAAACACGCATCACAATCATTATTCAAATCAACTGGAAACAATGAATTATCCAATTTACTAACTAAACGCAGAACTGTCTTGGACGGATGCCCTAATCTTGAATGCCACAATTCACCTGAATGTACACCCTTGATTGAATGAGCTTGAATTCTGTCCAGACAGTGAAAATAATAAACTCCTCCTTTCTGTTTAGCCACTCCAATCGGCGTCCTCGAAGGTAGGCCCTGTATTACACAAATATCATTAGCAAAATAAATCTCACATCCTATGTCATCAATCAGGCGTGCAACAGAGATTAAATTGCAATTCAATCCGGAAACTAAAAGCACATTTTTCATACGAATTTTGGGACTTATGTGGATTTCTCCCATACTCGTGGCATAAGTAATTTTACCATCTGGCATGGTAACCGGTATTGGATTCAATTTATCAATTTTGGCAAATAGCTCGGCTTTACCCGTCATGTGATAAGAGGCTCCAGAGGCTCCAGAGTCTAAGAGCCAATCCAGTTCATACGGCATACCTGATAATTTATCTCCCGAGGATGTGGCCTTACTTTTTTCAACTAGTTGCAGCAATACCTTCCATTGTTCATCGGAAAGCCCCGGCACCGTATTCTGCACTCACGGCGGCGTGTGCGACTGCCTTCCCTCGTCCACGGCCAGGCCCACTTCTTTCTTTTCCCCGGCCACTTCCTCTTCCTCGTCCGGGGTTCATACCACCACTCCGGGTAGCGTCCAGTTTTCTTGAAGCAATTGTCCACGTCGTGTCCAGTTTTATGGCAGTATGTACACTTAATCTTCTCATCTCGTCTGTCTCCGGTTCATGCAGCTAAAGCCATAACTTCAGTTCGTTCTTCTCTGCCTTTAATCACGTTACGGGTCCTCTCTTCCTGAGTCACAGCCTGGTAAACTTTGGTCATTGACGGCAGGTCATCCTTGCTTAAGATATTGGAACGCAGTACGCCGAAACCGTCATGATCAAGGCCTAGAAGAAACTCATGGGTTTTCTCAATTTCAATAAGCCTAAGGAATTGCTTATTGAGATCACAGGTACACCTATTACACTTACACTGCGGTATAGCCCGGAGCCCGCCATAATCGTCCCAAAGTGTTTTGAGTTCTCCGAAATACGCCGTAACAGTTTGACCCTTCTGCCGGCACTGCCGAATTGCCTCCTTTAATTCATATATTCGCATTGGATCGGCCACAGAAAATCGGGTTTTCAGATCATCCCAAAAATTCAAGGCACTATCCATGTAGGTCAAATTCGACCTAATAAGCACCAGATCAGTGGCCGTCATGAGCCATCCAACGATCATAGCATTCACAATCACCCAATCTTCCGAGTCCGGAGTGTTCGTCGTTGGTTGTGGGATACTACCGTCAATGAATCCCACCTTCCGTTTCGCCCGCAGAGCGTTCTTCATAGCCGTAGACCACTCGCGGTAATTCGATTCGCCCTTCAGCACCATCCCACAGATATTCATCCCTGGGAAATCAGCACTTGATAGGTAATACGGAGAAGAAATATCATTGATTTTCCTTCGTCCGCCATCGTTGCCGTTGGAGTCGGTAGCCATTGTTGATCGAGAAATCGCAGGATCTATGTCACTGCTCTGATACCATGTAAAGAATGAAACGGAGATATATTGAACTGAGTATGTGTTTAGATCGTAATCGAATTGATTTACATTGACCGTAGCTATGCTATTTAAATACAAATATCTCAACTGCCCATACTAATCTACTGCTACTTTTACATAAGAATGGGATGAGATAATCATCAACCAATAAATTAATGTCACATACAAATATACAACAAGGAGAGGTCCTCATGCAGTAAACCTCATGTACACGTGAGTCTTCATGCGGCAATGCTTTTGCACACGTGAGTAGTAACCAATATATAAATCGGGAACAAATCATAGTTAGATTACTTGGTGGTTGTTTTGGTTAAAAACAACAATTTTTTTTTATTGTCAACTTGCTAAGCAGGTGAAGTATTACTTACGGAAGGTGTTGTACTGTTGTGTGATTTTTTGCACTTGAAATGAAACACGTGTGAAATTAATTATTTATCGTAAATTTTGAGTATAAAGTATGTATCTTTTTGTTGTAAACGCGGTGAAAAATAATAGCATGAGTATAGGGGATTGCAAGAGCAATATCTTTGATGAAAAAAATTGTCCAACAATATAAATACAAAACCAGGGTGTTCAATCTTCAACATTTTCTATTCTAACTAGTATTGTACCCGTGCGATGCACGGGGTAATAATGTATCTGTGTTTTACGTTTCTCGGTTATTCAAATATTATCATTAGAATATAATTAGGTTAAATAAAACTGAAAACATAATTTACTAATAACTGAATTATTTTAAATATTGACGTGTAGATTTGTACAACCTAATTTATGATTATTTGGCTATATAATAACTATACAATTAATTTATTTAGCTATAAAAATAATTATAATAATAATAATAATCAAGGAACGGGTACAATGCATATCTTATTCTGGTTCCCTAATTTTAGAATCGCGAACCGATACGGTTGTTTAACTTCAATTTAGTTCAAAAGTGAGAACATCCCTTTATATACCTACATAGTGTGGGTCTATCACACTGTGATGAGATCTTATCATGTATGGACTGGAGTATTAAATAAAAATTGATATTGGAGAATGAACGTGTGATACATTTTATAAAAATTAATTCCACTTTTGATCCTATGAATGTTATGTTAATTCCTATTTAATCCTTTTTTTACACTTTGTACACTTTTGGTACTTGACTATTATTTTCTTGACCATTTTTTATACATCTCTAGGCATTTTAATCATCGAAAAAGGATTATATGTGGGCGAAAACAATAGCCATATAGTAAAAGTGGTTAAAGTCAAAGACGTGAACTAATTATGAAATTTGAGTGATATTCCTACGATCAAAAGTGGAATTTATTCCACTAAAAACATGCACTCAAGTTTTCAAAATTAAGTAGATAAATAAATTTTTAATAAAATGGAGTACAAATGGATTATAAATTTCAGTATCACTCGGGTAAGTTCACATTGTTTGTCATTTTTGAACCTGGTTTGTCAAAATACACAATTTCAAATATATGCGTGTCTTGTATTCATGTATGTCTTTAATCGTTTATTTTTTTGTTTTAAGGAATTTATGCATGTTTTCAACTTAATTTTCAACATAACACTTTTGATCCCTCAATTAGTGTGTAAATGTCATCTCCGGTGAATTACTTGTATCTTAGAATTGGAGACGGATCATAAACGACGGGATGACATTACAACACATCTATCAATTCAGAGATAACATTTATAATCTTAGAAACACGCGTATAACATTTCAATATGCGACTAATTGAGGGACAAAATGCGATTTTCTCATATAAATAGTCCTTTGCCCTTGATTTCTATACGTGAACTATTTTTGCTATAAATAAATCAGGTGGTTAAATGCATAATATGCATTCGCTGTGTCAATTGGATGTAAGAGCCAGTGTGAAAATAATTTCCTACACACTTGATGATTTTAACGAATGTTTATAAATTATATAAGGAGTATCTGATTACACTGCATGTTGGAACATATATTTCCTAAAGAGGCATACTGCATACAACTAACATTTTGACTATGCCCACTTGGATATCTACTCCTCACTACAAAAAAATTCGGTTGTAGTCACGGATTTAGTCACGGACCCTAGTTTAAAAAATCCGTGACTAACTCCTTTAGTCACGGATGTGTCCGTGACTAATTCCCCGGAATAAAATAACCCACGCCGGAAACGGGATCGGGGCTATCGGAGGATTTTAGTCACGGATCTGACCGTGACTAAGCTTAGTCACGGACACAGTCACGGTCAAATCAGTGACTAAATTTCTTTTTAAAATTCCGTGACTAGTCCGTGACTAGTCCGTGACAAACTAGTCACGGACCAAATCTGTGACTAAAATCCGTGACTAGAACGCTGTTTTTTTGTAGTGCCTCATGCATGGGCGCTGATATAGTGATATTAATAATAATGGATGGATGAAACCAAACGACAAAGTTCCATTATATTTCTTACTGCACGTCTTGATATTGTGATAATGTGATCCCACTCAAAAAGATCCATTACATGAGAGAGGCCGAAACATGAACAAATTATTAGTAATACTAAATTACCAACCTATAAAGTAAAGGCTATAATTAAAAAAACTAAATTACTAACATATAATTACAAACATACCTGCTGGACACATGGACAGAGATTAATGTCGTCAGACGGTCCAATTGCTCGAGTAGTTTCATCTTGAAGCAAATGGTTTTGTCTTAGACTTTTATATCATTCGTGCGTGGATTTTATTTGTACCGGTTGCAATTTACAGTTTACGTTTTTTAGGATAAAACTGATGCTCTTCCGAATAACTTTTGAACAGTTGTGCCGATTACCGGGTTTTATTAAAACTGTCGCAAGTACTTTAGGCGTGGGAGTAGTTTTGGACTGGTTTCCCTTTTTATATTAGTATAGATAATGACAACAAATACCAATTTAGGTGTGATCATAACAATAGGTGCATCAATACTTTCACCTTCCACCGGCACCTTCCATCTTCGACCACAGCTGCTGCTATATGGTCCCTCTGCCGCCGAGACATTTTACTGTCGACAATTTTTGCTATATGTGACAACTAGTGTCTAGTGCCACCACAGATGGAAGGTGCTTTTATCCAATACTCTCGCCGGTGATGGGCGATGCTACTGTCTAGTAGACAGTCTATACAAATGCATCAAAACTATCTAACCTTTTTCAAAACAAATACTCCGTAGTAGCACTGGCATCTTCACACTAGCGATGGTAGCTGGCAGCTGAATCGCTACTGAAACTAGAATAGCTATCCTTATTTGTAGAATTCAAACCTTGAAGGTAGAGGCATAGAGCAAGGCATGGACCCGGGTCAGTCCGGTCCTAGACCAAGACCATCCGGTCCAAAAACATTGGTTGGGGCCGGGTCCGAACCACCCTTTTCCAGGTCTAAGCCGGTTCCTGGGTACCCAGCCAGTAAGATCCTGGCCCGGACTTGGTTCCCATTAATTTCTTTTTCTTTTTTTTGCCAAACTGAAGCCTTAAAAAACACAGGCTGGGCCGAAACCGAGATTGGGACCGCCTGGTACCCAGTCGAGTACCTGACCCAATCCCGCACAATTGCGGGGCCAGTTCTAGATTGGTTCAGGGCCGCCGATCGGGTCCACCCCTAGGTAGAGCTATTTACAAATCATTATTAGTCATTTTATTGTTGTGAGATAATGAATGGCATTCCCGCCCCTGCCCTACATTCCTTCCAACAAACTGTCATTTCTTCAAAAAAACAAAGTACAGAAATATACATCCGAAGATTATGACCCCATGGTAAAATGCTTACCAGATGTCATGAATTCATGACTAGTAAAAAAACATCAACAAAAAGGGAAAATGGAAAAGGAAGGTGTGCCAATCAACAATGCGAATATAAGATTTGATCTGTTACAACTCTTGCCTCCAAATGAGACTCAAAAACCATTTGTCCCTGGGGGTGCTCTGAACCTGATAGACCTTAAACTTGCTTCATCTTAAGGCAGGAGTCTTCAGTTGGTTGCACCTTAGTGGAAACGATAGTGACCTGCAACTTGTGTGCATACCCAACATGACGTAAGCATTGCTCAATTTGATTTCTTTTTCGGATACGGAGATGCGAGTTAATGCACTAGGCAGACTTTTAGCAAAGGCCTTCACAATGTATGACTCTGAGATGGTTTACTAGTCATTCCATTTTGTTGCACTTTAACTCTCTCATAGAAGAGCACATAGGCAGCTGATGACTTTATATCAGCTTCCGCAGCAGCAGAAACATGGGAATCGTCAAAATGATACCATTTGTTCTCATCAGCTAACTGCAAAAGAATTTTAAATCGAATGCCAGTGATTTAAGAACCAAGAGATTCTTTTTTGCAAAAATACCCAGTCAAGAAAATGTGGATGACCAAACAAAAAAAGGAATAGTGCAGATACCTTGCAGTGAGCAGAGTAATGGCCTCCGCCTAGGCCACCGTAATGATTACTGATGGCAAACAACTCGTACACGTGTGATCCCTCGGATGCAAGCTTACTTTTCACATATTTGCTTAGGTCAAGATTGTGAACAGGAAAGTTGACAAAAGTATCAAGCTTGTTCTTAAACCATCGACTGTATGAGAAGCGTTTCAAGTGAAAGACGAGTATATCAGGCAGTCTCCACAAATCTAACTTCTTCGTTGCTTGTCTATGTTCCTTGCAGCTAGGGCAATACCTGAATAAGAAGTGAAAAAAATAGTAACGAGATACACATGGCAAAAAAAATGGCACAAAAATCTTATGTATGCAATGGGAATGTCTTCTAACTTATACCACATATCATCAGGCCCCAATGGTTCTTCCTTCAAGAATGCCTCCAAACAGGAAAATAAGGAGATAGCTTCTGGCTTTGTTTTTTGCGCAGCAGGTCCGCTTTTGTGTACATCAGGAAGATCCTTTAGATAACTAGCATCAAATGATTCGTACTCTTTTTCAGTCCAGTCCAGATATACCTTTACACCAGGTCCAAGTTTTATTGGTGTGTTATTCAGAATCGGCCTGCATTTCATACCCCGTTCGTCAGTTATGCAGAGATGAAATGACATTTCACTGCTGGAACTTTCTTCTGGTTCTATATCATCCGCAGATTCGGACATAGAACCATATTCTGTGCTACAGTTCATTAGATCATCTACAACTTCCGAGTCAGATCCAGTTTGCCTATCCTCAAAACAAACTGTCGACTTCATATATGATTTTCTTCTTAAAGGAGAAAGCATTCTGTCAACAGCAAGATCTATATTGACTCCAGTCACAGGGTCCTCCTCCAAGAAAGTAACAAGTGGTGTCAAAAAGGGCTTCCACTCTCCAGCCTTTGAGTTGTTTATGATACCTCTACATGAAGAGAATACTATTGTCATGGAGTGGTATAGTTTATAGGAGAAGAGAAAATACACACAATATTGTAAGCAACATAATACAGAAACCTAAAGTAAAATAACATGAGAGCATGCACCAATATCTTTTTTCGTTATTGAATAGTTGTTTTTTGGGCAAAATTAAAGATAGCTTTTTCTTAAGAATTGGAGAAATCCCTGCTACTATTTAAAATATATATAATTCTAGTGACTGGGGAGAAAAAATGTTCCTATTACAACAGTGTGCACTGCGCAGCACCAACAGTCTATGCTTACTTCTCCCGGTGGCAAATCTCCAGTTTTGCTGATCTTGTTGCTCTTTTGGGAAGTCTGTAGGCAACTATTTGTTCATCATCCTTAACTGACTGCAATGGCTCAGCAGAGCTCTCCAAGTACCGAAATATTCGATGTTGATAAACCTTCATGAAAATTAAAGATATAAGGAAATCACACACAATATTCAAATGCATATATGGAACATGTGATATTTAACCAATATGTACAAAAGTTACCTCAGCAAGCAACAAATATTCATCACTCTGTAAGCAACATTCTCTTCCTAGAGCTTGTAAGAGATCTTGAAGGCAACCATGCTTTGGTACAGTAACTGTATATGGCATAGGAAGGGCACTACCATCACCATAAAATAAAGTCACAGTAATTATCCTGGTGGCCGTTGATGGAAGAGGCAAGGACAAGTACATGAATGGATCAAATGTAATTGAGATTTTGTTGCAGTCTGGGCAGCACAATGTTGATTTATATTGACCCTGAAGAAATAGCATTCCATAAATCCCAAAAAAAATTATGTTTGGTGCTTACACCAGAGTCTGTGCTCATTAAATTTCAGTTACAAAATAGTCACAACCATGGAGTGGTATAAAAGGTAATTAATCATCCATGGGGTCACTCGGTTTCAACAATTAGATTCTAAATCTAATGAAAAAAGATCCAAACAGACCCTTCTAATATTTCATTTTCAATCCATCACGTAAGCCCCTATTCTAAAATAAAGTATCAAATAAGAACTGGCTTAGCCAGGACCCAAATTGGGCTGGATCTGTACAAAGATTTTTTGGGGAAAAATTAACATGAACAATTTTACACTAGTATTTGAACATTTTTTAGATTTGGGGTGGGGTGGGCCAGGCCGACCATGGCCCCCAGATTCGCCCGCATATAAGTAGGCTTACTTTAAAAAATTGATCAATCTGGCCATTTACTGGTTTTTTACCTGTTATTGCGAGTTAATTATAGCAGCTTAATTTTTGAGAAAAAACCAAGAAAATTGTTAAATTTTGAAAGAAAATAGGGGAAAAACTTCACAAAATTTAAGAATGTCAGAATCTTTATTTTCTGCGTTTTTGGAAATATTTGTATATTCTATATCTTTTTAAAAGATTTCACATATTAACTTTAGATTTTTTACATTTTCATTTAAATTTTTTATTTTTAGTTTATTTACTTTAATGGTTAAAATTTATTAATCTAATTTGAAATTGTTTACTACTTTTTACGTTACTGTTTCTATATTTTTTAATTTATATAACTTTTTATATAATTTAACACATTTTTTAATTTATTATTAAAAATAATCTGCTATAGCGGGTCAAGATGGCTGCATTGATTGTGTTTTCAAAAGTATGCTTATATGATACCGGGGTACTTTTTTAGCGAAGGGACTTGAGTGATGGATTTGAAATGGTGAAAGTGTCTATTTGAACCTTTTCTCAAATCTAATGGTTAATAGACACACCGAACTTTAATATAAATACGAGAAGTGTAAAGACAATACAATAGAACCAATAGAAAGGAATAATCAAACAGGCATCGCTTTTTTATCAAATACAGCAGCACCATAAACTTTAATATAAATCCAAGAAGTGTGAGGACAAAAAATGCAACCAATAGAACAAAACAAACCGTGTGAGCATCTTTTTGTTATTACATGCAGCTAGGTAAAATGGACCCGTGCCAATTTGTGCAATGAGAAGCCTCTTGCGAATTGATATTGACTAGCTCACCAATTTCACAACTCACATTGTAACCTAAGTTTCAAATGATATAGCATGTCAAGGAGAGGGCAAGCTACAAACCTGGCAAACATCCACTATTACAGAGTCATTTCTAGCTTTGTGGTATCTCCAAAACTCATCTGCTACCTCCTCATCTGGGCGGCCATCAGAGTCTTTAGTTTCATAATAAGGTTTTTGTTTAACACGATTCAAATCTTCATGCAACCCATCTAGTAGAAAAGCAAGAAGTTCCTGCACAAAGAAAAGAATCCTACCTTCTCAGCTTCATTACAAATACATGAGTAAAGACTAAAAAATCCCACATTCACATAATAGAATTGGGGAACCGTGCGATATTGACATGTCATAAAGAATGGAAGGAACTACCTGACCAAATATTATACAAAAAAGCCTACTTGATCACAAATATTAAAGTTAGCATTATGGGAAAATGGGCTATATTGTAAGAAATCAGTTTGTAGTCCTGACCGTGCTACAAATAATTGGTAAAGCGTGTAAAGAAAAATGAGGGTATCGGCAGAATGACTTCTAACCTGTGAATCATGCTGGTTATACCCGCTAAATTGTGGAGCAAATCGACCAAGTTTTCCTTTAAATACTCGAGGAGCAATTGATGTCCGGCCAGAGGACCAAATTTTCCTCAATAGCTCACCAAATGCAAGTGCAAGCTCACCCTGCAGAACAAGATGAGATATTAGAAGTGAAATGCAAATTTTTATCTTTAAAAAATAATTTTAGAATAAAGAAATTACTTACATGCATTCCTAGCGGATTTTGCCTGTTGATCTCCTCACTGTAATCTTGCAAGAAGTATTGAACAAGTGGAGGTGTATGAGCTAAACACTGTAGAGCACTATTCATAAAGCATGTGTTGCCTAAGTTTTGCAGCCCTACTAACCCCCCGCTCTCTACTTTTGAAGTATTCCTGAGGTTATCATATCCATCCTCCGCGCCTTCAAGTGCGGAGCATGAAGAACTCTGTTGGTATACACAGGAGGTATACCCATTGGAGAAACCACTGGACATAGCAGGGCCACCTGCAATGGTAACAGATGACCTCATGGGTTCTACAGGAACTAATGCCAGATTGTTTCCTGTTGAATCCATGCAAAAACTGGGAGGCTGAAACCCTTCGCCTTGAACCTCAAGAAGAATCTGAGAATAGTTCAATCCATCATCTAAGTCTAACAATGATATTAATGCACACCCACCAGTACATGTAAGATCAGACCAAGGAAAGAGACAATCAATCACAAGCACATAATGCACATAACAAAATGTTAAACCAAAATTCTCTGAAGACGCCGTGTTCTTGTAAGTACAAACGTGTGAGTACAGTTAAACCAGGAAAGGGAAAACCACATGCACAAAATGCATGTAATGAATGGACAACATCCAATCCTTAGTCCCAAAAGAGTTCGGGGTCGGCTAACATGAATCGACATATAAAATTGGAGCTAAAAAAGAAATTCATGCAATGAATATTAAGAAAATATACAAAATACTTCAGGGACATGGAATCTGAGGTAATGGGATGTGAATCCATGTACCAGAACCAGAAGACATGCATGTGATACCTTAAAAGAATGCATGGGAAAAACCATGAACCCATACATACCAATGAGTGTATGGTTAAACTTGAAGGACAAAATCAATCAGAAGCACTTAATGCAGTTAAGCAGGTGACGAATTACATGGAAGAGAGGAATACAACCAAGAATCAGTGAAAGTATTAGATGGAAACAAAACTTCGTTTAGATTTCATGGAATGTATAGACATAATCTGTTATAAAGACATTTTATAAGATCAACATACAATGTACGACGTGGTCATAAATCGCAATATTGCCAATCATCAGAATTTTCAGCTTAGTTGTACAAAAACATTATAAACTTCTCTTAATTGCAAAAGGACTCTAGAATCTTAAAACCTTGAGACAATAGAAAACATGGTATGCAACATATGCTTCCTTCTGAGGTAGCTTTACTTTGAGAGAGAGAAATGAGTTAGATAATGATTTTTTTCATGCACTTATGTGCCATTATTTAGAAAGTAAATTTTTTGGGAGCAATGAAAAGATGTCTTATCAAAAGAAAAATCGATGAAATGAATGGCGGATGGCATTCAACATCTGACACACAATATTCACAACACAGAAGTACCAAGACATCTGAGTTAATCATTGTGAACTAATGCCCAAAGTCCATAGTGGAAGTGCAGCATCGTAAACTCACATCTTGATCCATCTGCAAGTTGGATTCTTCGAGTGTAAGGTCTGAAGCATCAAGCTGTTTATACTTTCTTTTCCCAAAATAATCCCATATCTTAGCCTGTGAAATGCAGGGTGAAAACGATTAGCAGAAGTTCACGAATCGTATACTGCATGATAATATAAAGCAATACTGTTTGGTTTGTCATAGAAAAACACCTTTTCCAGCACTATCCCTTTGAGTCCACAAACTCTTTCATAAAGCTCGCGCAGAGAGGCCTAATGCACATTATACCAATTAAATGACACATCATGAAACCAGACAGACCATAACATAATAGATTAAAGAGACATCTTCATAAACAGACAATTAAACACAAGCCAGGCAAAGGTAAACACATCTTCATAAACAGACAGTTAACAAAAACTTATAGCTATGTGCCTATGTTTAAAAAACGGGCCGGGCACCAAGCCTGGTCGACTTGGAAACAAACGATCTGGACCAAAAACAGGTCCGGTTATTAAAACCCTGGAAATAGGCAAAAAAAACAGAAAATCCCAAATTTGGATGGTTTTTGCAATTTTTTTGTTTTAAGCATTTTAAATTTAATAAAAGTGAAATCCTAATATAATAAAAGAAAAAAACATGTGATATAGTTTTACAAATGTTGACCGGTTTTCCTGCTAATATAGACACCCAAAATCAAAGGTTACTTCAATCAAGTAATCAGGTTGAAAATTGATGTACGACTTGCTGTTTTTTGTTTAAGGTAAGATGAGAGGGATTTTTCTCCTTTTCCTGTGTTTGAGTAGAAAAAAGAGTAGGATTGAAGTGGATATATATTTAAAAAATCTCCCCACTGCTTTGAAATCAAAGGAATTTGGAAGAAAAATACATAAAAAATTCTTGTGAACTAGACTACCTCTTTTTCTTTCAAATGTGTTGTTCTTTTTCGGTTGCGCTGTATTACATCTTTCTTCTACCTTTGTGTCTGAACACATAGCTTCTCAATTCATTATCTTTTTTTAGAAAATGAATATGAATATTACTAATTACAAATAAAAATTAGATGGAACCATGGAAGTGAGCGATTGATATCTAATTATATTTCAAACCATGAGAGTTCATCTAAAAGCATGCGCCCTTGTCACTAAAATACATAAGAAAATTAGACCACAGTGACATACCTTCTTACTCAATCTTATTACTTTTTCACTTTTATCATTGGAATCAATTATATTGAGACAGAGTGGGAAGACCTCCACGCTAAGCTCCTTGTTATCACCCACAGAAATCACCTTCCTTGGTAAAGCTGGTCCTCCCTTGTACCTAAGGATGATAGGTTTAAAAGCAAAAGATGAACCACACTTTTATAAATTTAGCAGCACCATAAACTGTATTGTATTGGAAGTAGCCTAGCAAATATCTACTATTTGTGCATTGTCACAAAACATAATCATGGAACAAGCAGGAAAAAAATATCCCTGTCCCATTAACCCCTTTTATTTATCTCTTTCACCATTTATTGGCCAAATAAATCCTTCACTTGTGCCCACTTTCTTAAATAAGGTGCTAAAATTTTAAAATTTGATTTAGAGTAATTCAACTCTCTTAAGTCTCCTCTCTTCAAATATTATAAATATATCTGTTACTACAGAACCCGTCTTTAAAATTGATTTAGGACCCGTTTGGCGACCCCTATTTTCGCTTCTCGGTCTTATCAGTCAACTTTTTCACCAAACACATAACTATTGATTTCATGCGCTAAATTGAGTAATCATAAAATAAGTAAGGTCAGAGTTACTTTTTGGCTGAATTGACTGAACTTATAGCAGATAGTGATTTTAGCGGTTTTTCATATAATTTTTTCTTTAATTTATTAAAAGAATATTTTAAACGTAACTTTCTCATAACTCAGCACATTTAGCCAATTCAACCGCTTCAACCAGAACTTCATAAATTTTGCTAGATCAGCCGATTCAATGAATTCCTGTGTTACCAAAAAGGCTCTTAGTATTCGATTCAGCTTCCTTAAAGGGAAAATTCCCGAAATAGGACTAAAACAGTTTGATAATTCCAAAATAGGACTGACATGTTTTTTATTCCCAAAATAGGAGTAATTACTGTCAAGTTTGGAAAATACTGCCATGCTTGAGGTCTGGTACTGCCAAAACATGATAGTAATTAGTCCTATTTTGGAATTAAAATCATGGCAGTCCTATTTTGGAATTTTCAAACATTTTTAGTCCTATTTTAGTCCTATTTTCAAACTTCCTTAAATGTATTTTATCTTCAAATAATATAAATTATATCCGCCAGTCTGCCACTACTATCAAATATTATTAAAAATTAAATAATTGATAAATTAATTGAAAGAAGAAATAAGCATTACTACTGGTAAAATAATGAAGAGAAAAATACAAGAGGTAAGCAAAACTCTTTAGCACAACCAAGTTTCATAATGCGTCAGAGGAAGTTGAATGGGCCTATTCTTAGAGACAATTTTTATGCAGTTGAGAACTAGAGGATATTGTTGTTTAATGGAGTGTTCGGTTTGACGGAATATCTTTTCATATTGTCCTTGACTCCAGGCACCACTTAATTCCTCAGTGTGAGAAAAATATATTCCTAGTCATGGAAACGTTATGGTGTGCATGGGCCTGGATAGATGGAGATACGTTCATTGGGCTTTAGGAATTGGACCCATATACCTCCTTGGACCAGATCTTGACGATTTGAATCTGGTGATTATGGACTGCTGAATGCTGGATCGCTGGCCTCGGATGGACCATTTAGTTCAGGGCCAGCAAAGCATTTGTTGCATAAACATTGCCTTTCCATTATCCTAGATGGGTATGTGAAGCACATGTGCGGGTTAAAGATCAGATGGTGATTCACCACCACGTGAATGAAACAAAAGAGTATACCAGCCAAGCCACAAACATGTGTCATCATATGCTATGTGCAAATTGTTAATAGGCCTTCCCCACCAAGGCATCAAGGGAAGGATGTGTGGCAATATGTAGACTATCTTAGCTTAGCCTTGATTGCTTATAAATACCCTTTTATCAGGAATGTGGAAGGGGTTGAATCTCTTAAACTGCAATTGGACTTTCTCACTTTAAGATTGAGTTCTCTTTCTCTAGATCTCAGGATTCTATAATCTGTCACATAGTATGTTGCTTCTATTTCATACTCATTCCTAGTAACCAGAGTAAGGAATTTGGATCCTTCTTCATTTCCCACATATTATTATTCTCACTTGAATCTCCACTCATTGCTTACAGCATATGAAAAGGACTAATCTTAGTAAAAGTGACTACCCGGTACTTATAAGCACATTGAAGCCATATTGTAGGAAAGTTTGTAGTACACATTAGAGGATAATTACCACTGAAAAAGCATCTCCCATACTTCTTTCGGAACCAATTCATAATCACTCCCCTCTTGCAATGTTCTAAGAAGCTGAGCATCATCACACTCATTATCACTTCCTCTTTCAATAAGATCACTATTGTCGATTGAACCTGGTCTCTCAGCATTATCTGGCGCTATTGAAGATTGTTGAAGTGGATAAGTCCCAACAGGCTGCCCTGTATATCTTTGCCAAGCAGAGAACCACCTGAACATGCATATAAAACCACACAAAAAAATTGGAAAAAGAATGTGTGATTGAAGAAACTCAGCCAATCAAATGCACGCTACATATTCACTAAGAATTTGATCAGGATAAGAAAATTTCTGAGTGAATCTTTTTACTAAGTAAGATTTTATAAAAAACGGCTAGAGTGTTGTTGCTTAGCCATGAATACGGATCTCAATTGTACCTATCACCTAACAACAAGCGACCAGAATCATACCCAGATTAACCAAAGCATTCCTCTGTGAAATGCTTAATATTTATATTGCTTAATGCGAACAAAGTTCAAGATGTTTTAGACATTCATAGCAATTACCGGCTAGAGATAACATAAAACAAGTCGCCCTCCCTCAGATTAGACCCTGACTTGGTCGTCAGCTCCAGGATTATTCTCCTTTCTTCTTCTGGCGTGTAGGGGAACTCAACCGACCCGTTCTCCATCATCATACACGTCGAACCAGATATCGTCATGATCTTTCAAATTCTACAACAACATCAACGAAACGTAATCCTCATCAACATCATCCTCTCAAAGTAACCATGTATTCGGGAAAAAGCAGGGGGTGAATAGGCTTGAAAAACGAACCACAGATCGGCAAACCCAGCGAAGCAAGGAAGGAATGTACGTGTAGTCAATCTGAAGCAGAAATGTGTTGCTTAGGGTTCCAGGCCCTAGATTAACGGAAGAAATGATTTCAACCCCAGTTGATTTTTTTTTATCGAAATGGAGAAATTACACGACAGCTCTTAACGATCTTGTCCTCAAGCACATTCTCATCTACCAGTTTATATATACACAAACTCCTCCAGAAATTAAATTTCAGGAAAATGTGTATGTGTTTCTTGACACTTAAGATTTGTATATAATGAAAAATAAGATTTCTTTTGAAAAAAATAGTCCTACTTTGAAAATTATACAATCTTGAAAATAAGATTTTTTTTTTAGGAAGAAAATAAGATTTCTTTTGGTTAATTGTGATTTCACATTATCTTTTACATAATTTTTCTCTTCTCTGCATAACTCTTTATTATACAATTTTTACTCTCTTAATTAACATATTAAATGTACTTTGAAAGATAATTTAAGGACGGAGGAAGTAATACTATGTCATTTATTTGATTGATGACTGTTGAGGTTAATTCCGGTAGATCCAAAGGCCCAACACCAACCTTTGAATATCAAGAGTGTTGATGGATGGCGTACCCGGGGTAGCTTATCCGAGAGGTTATTATGAGAATAACCTAGAGAGATGTCAGAGCAAACAAGTAAGAGAGAGAGAGAGTCGATTGTATTAATGAACTCGAGATGTTCTGGCCTTTTTACAATGGAGAAAGGTGTTGCTATTTATAGCAGCAATAAATGTGATGAGGGTACACGTGGCGATAATCTAACGGCCGAGGGGTCACCTCAATCGGGGTGGCACCGGCATATGAATGTGCACCGCATTAAATGTGGTGGTTGGACGTGACGCCGCATTAAATGCGGTGGTTGCTTGTCTCCAGAGGAAGCTTCGTAGAGCGTAGACCCTTCGGCCTGGATCATATGACCGAAGGGTACCCTTGTGCCGAAGGCTCTATGTGTGCCGAGGGCACCCAGTAGCCGAAGGCTACCGTTTTTCGCCGTTTTCATCCAGTAGCTCTACATGCTCAAATCTAGCAGCCATGTGAGATTTGGAGCCTTCAGCCAAGGAGGCCGAAGGCACCTATGTGGGCGTCGTGGGCCTTCTGACGCTTGGGCCGCTGTGTTTGGGCCTTGTGTGCTCCTTGGGCTCATTGGGCCTTTGTAGGAGAAGCAGGAGTCTGTGGGCCGGGGGTTCATGGGCCATATACTCCATCAAGTGCTTTTTAATAGAAACTGAATAAGAAGAGTAATCAGCTAATCGTATTACTCAATGGCTCCAATTGCATTAGTGTAATTAAGATTACAAAGAAAAGGCCGAACGAGAGGTATGATCTAATGAGTAATACAAGAGCTTGAGTGAAGTATAGTATGGTTAGTATCAAAATTCTAACCATTTACAATGGAATAAATGTTACTATTTATACTAGAACGGGGTAGGTGGGATGGGTGACGTGGGTGACTCTGAATGGCTAACCCTTTTGCCACATGATACACTCAGGTTCAAATTGGACACTATAGTTTCATCAAAATCTCATATTGGACACTAAGGTTTGAAATGGACCAAATTAGACATCATGGTTTCATATGTATCTCATATTGAACACTAAAGTTTCATAATTCAATATAAGTGAGTGTCCAATTTGATCTTTATCCAATATAAGTGAGTGTCCAAAAACTATGAATTATGAAACTTTAGTGTCCATACTTTAGCATTAAATGTGCCTCTGCTACTTGCAAGGCTTCTTCTATCGGTACTTTTAGACTGATGCAATTAGCAGCCAAGAGTGATGTTTGTTATCTGTTAAGTATGGGATCTCACCCGTTCGGGAACTACCAAACGGTTCATGCTCAGTGGGAAGAACCCGTTCGGGACCCCAATGCTTTACCTAGTATTTATTAGGCTCCGCTGCTTCTTTCGGGCTTTCAGGGATATTTTGGGCTGGGTTACTGGGACCTTAATATTCCAACAATGACACTAATAATCTCTCTAATTTCATGTCTATCTATCGCAATTTTGTAATCCATGATTGCCAACTTTGTTCATATAGATTAATTAATTTAAACTTGTATGGGAGAGAGAGGTTGAACGCGATAGGTGTGAAAATAGGTACAATGACATTTTCACAATTTGTTTCTTCAAATTTCTTATTCTTCTCCTTTTTGGGTAATAGGACCAGTTATGTTTTTGGACAAAAATATGATTAGTGACTATGTACAAGTAACTAGACAAGAGTCAATATAGTGTGTTTCAGAGTGACAAGCCACTAGTACACGATGAGTTACTGAGAACTAGTCATTAAATATGTCATTTTTTTCGAAAAAATTGTAGAGCAAGTTATATTTTTGAAAAAATGAACTCAATACTCATGGAAATTTTGTAAATAGGAACAATGACTATATGAAGCTTGTCAATGAAAGTGAGCGGTGTGTTTAAATAGATTGTAGAGGTGGAGACATCGCAAGTCGGTGAAGGCATGAAGATATAGTGAGAAGGGCATCAGCATCCATTGGAATGAAAGTGGCACTAGCGACGAGAGCTACAGAATCGCAGATAGTGAATGTTTAAATGAACGAATGAATTAAATGTTTTTGTTAATTTTATGTAATTTAGAGATTAAAAGAGTGTTTTGATAATCATATTTGGGAAACTTTTAGTTATAGTTTGATAAAATTAAACTTCTCAAACAATATTAACAACTCTTAATGTGCATCAATGTATCCAACTTTAATCCTATATACTCTCCGATATTCTAAGTACTCTATAAGTTGGTAATATATAATTCAAACCTTTGAATAGTGTGATGCTTGATACACGAGATGTGAAAGGTTAAAGAAAAGATCAATAAAATAATAATATGAAGGGTCAATGATAAGCATTTTACAATAAAACTTATAAATATATTGCACGCATGTTCATTTATGCATATAACTAGCCCTTATGTAATGATTCGTATTCTATTCAAAATGTTGAATAGACTTAATATAAACTCCCTTGAGACATCCAAAAATCAGTAACTTTTAATGACTTCAAAGCATATACTTCATTACATCTAACACAAAATTTTAGATAGTGGGGGCTAGAGGTCGGTGTAGTACTCTATTCCCAAATATCACTATTCCACCATGCATGGTGTTTTCCTTCCCCATTAATATGCAATTAATGAGAATTATTTATGTAAATTCATGTGCAATTAGTGAGAATTATTTAAGTTCTAAGAATATAACTTATTCAACTCTATCGAAAATTGTTTTCTTTTGCTTTATGAAGACTAAATGAAAATATTTGTCCTAAGAAATAATAATCAAATTGTGCACATAACTATATTTTATTCTTATGTGAACGACACCTGTCTTGCTCCACTTTATACTATGTTTTTTCATATTTCAATGAAAATCTTAACTTTCATTAAGTTTCATTTCTTTGGTAAATTTGGTGAAACATTTAAAGGGGTCTATTATTTAGTAGTACTTCAACTCATATATTCTCATAAACATTTCAAATTAGAACCTCGTATTCCGAGTTTGCGACAATGTGGAGCATAAAATAGAGTATTGAGCAGAAGATGTTATTCAATTGAGGATAATTTCAAAAATATTATTAAAATAAAACTTGTTTACAAGAATATGATTAAAGGTTAATTATTATAGCATAGTGTCATGATCACTTAATGGTTAACACTACTGCAGTAATGACAAATTACGTCACACATATAACGTCTTTTCATGAAAAGTGGTCATTAAAAGTAATGAAACAACAATTTTACGTCGGTTGCTATAAAATCCGATGTTGTATGTTTAAGATTTATTTATTTATTCAACGATGGATAAATTTACCTTGGTATCTATTTTTTATAAGTGTAATCATAATCTACTATGGCTAAAATTACTAGCTACGATAGTCACTGCACTTAAGAAGTCAAATTTTCATAAATAATAATTATTTTAGTCGTAAACATATACTCCGGTACTACATTTGTCTCATTTTATGTGTCCTACTTTGATTTGACACATTTATTAATAAAGTGGTTGAAAAGTAAAAAGTGTGATTGGAATTTTAGTATAATAAAGTGAAATGTTGTAGACCACATATTTCTTTCCAAAAATGAAACGTAAAACCTATTTTTGGACAACTCAAAAGGAAAGTAAGACATGTAAAATAAAACGGAGTGAGTTCAATTTATAAATAGAGATGTTTGTGACATATTTTTTCATTGGTAAGGCTAGAAGAAGTTAATTTTAAATATGTGTTGTTAATGAGTACAGATGTTTCAATTATTAAGACAAATATGAATAAAAATCCCGAATCATCAAATACACCCAATTTTATATTTAGCTGGTAACAAATTATGCATTATGTGGTAGTTTTCAATTTATATCCATTAAATTCAATTTCTACTAATAATTTTCTCATTTCTTATTTCATCAAAATTCAAAACAAAACCATCTCATGGCCTCTTAAGTAAGCAATTATATGTTTGATGGTTTATCTTGTATTTCCTAAACGAGACTCAATTGTAATACTCAGAGAGTTGTGCAATTTAAATAAAAATAATAATAATAAATATTAGAATTATAATGATGATGATGATGATGATGATGATGATGGTGATGATGACGATGATGATAGAGAAGGTTGGAATTTGTGATGATTTATTCTTCAATTAACTTAATCAATTATTTGTCCAAAAAAAAAACTTAATCAATTATCGAAAAGAATGCTACATACTAGATAATTTGAAGAAAATGATGATGCATCTTGCATCGTGCATTGAAGCTTATTTTAGTTGTTTTATTTCACGTCAATGTATCATTATTTAAAAAATGATATAGTTGAGAATCATGAGATACTGTGATGTAAATGTTCTTATTTACTCCTATGAAATCCTAAATTTGAAGAATAATTATAAATGTGGATTCATTGTGCCACCAAATACACAATTTATATAAGTATGACTCAGAATTAATGTCTAGAGAAATTTTTTATATTTTAAAACTACTTTCATCAGAAAACATCAACTTAAGCCTACATTTGAAGGATTTGCTTGACCAAGGATGGTTATATGGTGGATTTGAGTCTGTAACTTGATCGTCAATCGAGTAGCTCGAGATAGGCCGAAGGATAGAGGACATTTGAGAAATTATGTCATATTAGTGAGAGTTAATGCATTACCTCATTTTGTAATTATTTACAACATTTTAAATATATAT